TTGAAAACCATGCTTTCTCCCTGTGCTGTGGAAGAAGTGACAACCATTGTTTACCACGGATTGAACAGAAAACTCTATTTTACATGAGAATACAACAAGGTAAGCGATAAGGCTATTCGAAGCAGCATATACAAAAATTTTGACAGGTTGTTGAGGTGACAAGAACATATGGTTGAACCTAATAAATGAGCAAAACCCAGGTATGAACTTGAAGTAAAGCTACACTAAGCTAAACTACTAGAAGAACTGGTGGTGTGCTCATAAGCATAACCAGACCAGTGCACTTTCTAATAATATCCCACTACATATATTCCCTCTATCCCAAAAAGAATATCATTCTCATTTTTCAAGGAGTCCACAACCTCAAGGTCTCAGGTCTAACCTGGAGTAATACAAGCCTAAGCGCATTCTCTAAAAAAAGGTCTAACCTGGAGCTTGGCAGGGTCTATAGTATTTCTATACAGAGCGTAGACAAAATGCAGCAGTGATTAGCTCTAAGGTCTAACCTGGAGCTTGGCAGGGTCTGCACTAGAAGCATCAATCACATCTATGCTGCCACTGATACGGAATTGTTCCCAGCTATCTGTGAAGTACCAACAAATCTGCAGGGTTACACACGAGATCAGGGGCAGTGCTACATCAACTTGCCATCTTGAGTGCTGTAACTGTGACAGTTCTAATGTTCTACACAGCACACCTCACCAAAGGGGCAGCTCTTGATGTCACCAATCTGTTGAATCAATCAAAATTACACATGGAATCAACGAGCAGGGAAACAAAAAAAAAATAAAATCAGCGCAGAGCACAGCAACCCACCTTGTTGCTTCGGGCGTCCGTATTAATCTGAATCTTATCACAGTGTTCCTGAAAACCCCTAATCACGAATGGAAACCCCACGTCAAATCAAAACTTGTAAAACAAACTGGAGACAGACTCGAGAGGAAGGGCGCAGAACCACGCGCTCCAGAGTACCTGAACACGACGGTGCGGTTCGCCGGCCTGCCGCCGGCGCCCACCGTGGCCTGAAACGAATCGACAACAGTTGTGAGCAAACCTCGTTTTCCCCAATCCGAAGGTAAGGCAGACAGGCGATCGAAGCGTACGAGTTGGAAGAAGGTGGAGTGCCTGAGGTGGGCGTTGGCGTCCAGCGCTCGCTGGAGCAGCGCCCTCCAGGGAATGGAAAGCGCCGACGCGGCCGCGCCACCGCCGGCCATCTCCTCGTCGCCGATTCCGCCCCTCACGCCGACGCGCGGCTTCACCAACGCCGGATGGAGAGGGGGAGGCTGGTGCAGATTAACGGACCCGATTCGTTAGACTCCGATGTGCCCCACGCGTCAGTGATAGGCAACCTCTGTGGGGCCACAGATCAGTGGCTCAAGCCTACAACAGGTAGCTTAACGCTCGCAGATTAATGTTTGTAATAGTCCTTTCTGCTCGCAGATCAGTGGCTCAAATGTACAACAGGTAGCTTAGTTGCATATGTTCTAACGTCTGAAACTACATCATGTTTTACACATGTGCTTTCTACGTACCCTGATGCCAGGTTTTGATACATATGTATCAACTTCAATTCACACGTGTTAGAGTAATTTTGACATACGTGAATTGAGATAAATACATACGCATCCAATCAAAGTCTAATGAAATATTCTTCCAATCACGACTCACGAAACTATCCGCAAATCTACACCAGGAAACAAAAACAAGCCAAGAAGCAGCTGTTGCGTGATTCATCAGATTTCCACCGACCATACGGGCATACGGCCAGATACGCATAGCAGACATGAACAGGTACACCGCTCTGTAGTAGTTTTCTTTGCCCAAGTGTTACTGCACTTAACTTTGTGGGATACTACCAACGGTAAGACTTTGATTGGGATATACCATAACGGTAATAATGGTTGCACCGATAAAGGATATGAACCATATTTTCGTTTCGGCTTTTTATTTCTTCCGTGAAACAAACGCAAACCGTAAACCAAACAAGCCTAATGGATCTGCGAGTACTGTACTATTCTTCAAACCACTTGAGAGTTTTTGCTTCTGGTCACCTGTCAGTCAGGCAGCAAGCAGAGCGCAGAGCATACATACAGGGTTTCCGGATAGTGACCTGGGAAATGGACGCCATGATCATCCTTGCCAAGCAGGGAAGCAGGGCGCATGGAGTTGAAGGAAAGATCCTATCATGTCGAGCATGGCATCAAGTACACCCGAACAGTGGCATACATCAGCATCAGCTTCACGGGACGGGACCAAAGAGGGAAACGAGTGGAGTAGAGCCGTAGAGGGCAACTTCCCTCTTCTCATCTCTTGTGCAGCAGCAGCAGCCAGCAGCTTGCAGTTTGTGCAGTGGATTTCAGGCAGCTGCACAGTTCGTGTGCGTCTTACCACTTGGGGTCGGTTTGGTTGTCAAAATTTTTGGCAAAACGACACTGTAGCGTTTTCGTTGTTATTTGGTAATTAGTGTTCAATCATAGTCTAATTAGGTTTAAAAGATTCGTCTCGTCGATTTCGTCTAAACTATGTAATTAGTTTTATTTTTTATTTATATTTAATGCTTCGTGCATGCGTTAAAGATTCGATGTGACAGGAAATCTTGAAAAATTTGGCATTTTGGGAGGGAAAGTAAACAGTGCCCGGTTAAAACCGAGAGTCAGCGGCAGCACTGCAGTGGTATGGCGCTGTCACCCCCTCTGGACATGTCAAAGCTATAAGATCGATCCACTGGAGTCTGGAGCGGACAGTGGAGTGGAGTGGAGTGGAGGCCACCCATGGCGACCTGGGTCCTGGGGAGGATAAGGGCCTGTGCGCCTGCATGGCTGCCTGCTTGTAGTACTACCCTGCATGGCTCTTGACACCTCAAATCGTAACGAGAAACGCGCAAGAACATCTGAGCAGCATGAAAGAAAGCACACGCAAGTTGAACCGGCCCATCACCCGATCACCTCAGGCCATGGCGAGACGCCATGGGGGGCGACTCGTCTACTCCTACCTCGGGACAAAAGCTTCCGTTCAGGAGAAGGGGAGAAGATAAAAGATGCCGAGAGGACGCCATCATCTCGGTTCAGTTCTGGTCTGGTCTGGTCTGGTGCGGCAGGAGTTGAGTGCCGAGTGTGTACTGACTGTCGCATCGCATGCGTCTCATGTGAAAAATAGAATTACAGCCCACAGATGCTGCAGCTGGCTTCACACTTCACCTCACAAGGGCACGGCCGGGCCTTGTGCCCTTGTCCCCCAAAGGGGTCACGGCATGGGGATCCTCACAGCCACGGTCACAGTCCCAACACCCCCGTCCATCGCCTCCCCATCCCCAGCACTGCCACTGGAGCCGCATCATCTGCGGGATAAAACGAGACAGGCCGCAGGCCAGCATCGAGATTGATGCTAAAATTTGACTTACGCTGATATTTATGTTGAAATATTGTGAGAGAAAAATACTGTTCCATGACAAGCGAACAGGCTGATGGGCATCGCCGCACTGGCATGGGATGGACCCATTTTTTTCATCCGGCATGGCCATGGCATGCCATCATCACCTTGTGGGCAACTCCCCTCAGAATCAGCCCTGAGCATACACACATAAACATGTTTTTGAGCACTGCACTGAGCATGTCCCTACCAACTCACGCATGACTTCAGAGTTTTTACAAGCTATAGTTGAAGAAATAGTTGAACTTCATGTTTGGATAAGCATGAAGTTCAGGTAAGTTTGGCTTTTCTGACAGACCAAAGATTCTGAACTTGAGAGGAAATGGAAATGGACTTGTACAATGCAGTGTGAAAGGTAGTAAGGGCGCGTTTAGATGCAAAAATTTTTTGTGTTGGCTACTGTAGCATTTTCGTTTGTATTTGGCAATTAATGTCTAATTATGGACTAATTAGGTTTAAAAGTTTCATCTCGCGATTTCTCACCCAACTGTGCAATTAGTTTTTTTTTCGTCTACATTTAGTACTCCATGCATGTGCCGCAAGATTCGATATGATGAATACTGTGTGTAAAATTTTTGGGAACTAAACATGCACTAACTTCTTTTATACATGCCAAAAAATTATGCAATGTCAACTTCTTGGCAGATGCAGCTCACACCAAAGATGCGGAGGATCTAAGAAAAGGACATGACGATGCAGGAGTAAAAGGCCAAGATCTGGGGCATGGCCCCCAGCTTTAAACAGACATGGCCATGAGCGGGGGGTGAGTAGGGAGTCCCCCCATGCTCCCACACCTAGGCCGCCGGTCCCTGGCGTTAGGAGGAAAACCCATCAGGATCAACTGCACCATCCCTATACAGAAAGGCCTGCACAGAGGTCCCCCACAGCCACCTGACCATGTCCACCACCACAAAGCAAAGCAATGGCGTCTCCAACACAGGGAAATGGAAGCATCAGCTATTGCACAGTTCCGCCATAAAGGCAAGCCATGATACGAATGATGGTGATGGCATGTGATGAACAAATGAAATGAATCCAATATGTGCACTCCCCTCCAACTAAATTTTCCTATCCAACAACAGTGAACTCTACTACCTCCCCGCTCGCCTTGTCGACCGTCTTGGATCAGTGCAAGGGGAACTCAAACGGGCAAAAAAATATGTTCATCCATCCACTATATACATTTACAGAGGGCCCCCCCAAAGGGAGCCGAAACAGAGAAAAGGAACAACATCAAGGCATTGCAATTGCAGCCAGACACCCACTCTTTGCGCAAAGTTTGTTTGGTCTGTGAGGGGATCCATCCTCCCCGGGCCTTTCCACGATGTGCCGCCGATGCTGTCGATATCTTGCAGGACCACTGGACTACATACAACTTCTGGTCCACAAGCAATACAGCACAGGCACACAGCCATGTGACTCTTTGTACTGTAATCATAATCTGGACAGGCGTCGCCTTCAGCCAACCAAGTTTATGGAGGCATAAAACTTCTGCAATCGACTTCTCATCTGCCAGTCCTGGGATATCCACTGATCAAGAAATAGTGAAGAGGTGCAAGCCTTGTACCATGTCACACTTGCATAGGTAAACCATAATTCTGGAATGACCTGATGTTTCCATCCCAACCTGCAGTGACTATGACCTGACCCCAAGCATGCGTGGCGGCACTCTGGCAAGAAGTCTTCAGGAACTTATACTGAGATTTACGCAAAGCAGATGATGATGGTGTCACTGAATTAGATGGCAACTGCTCTTCTGGCCATGTCGCTTTTCCCCTTGGTGCCAACTCCGCAAAGAATGCATTACTAAGAGTGAAATTGCCAGATGGCAATTGGTACAAGCTATCACCTTCAAGTGAGTCTTCAGCATTGCCGCATGACATAGAGTCTTGCAGGTTGTGAAACTCCTCAGAGACCTCTTGCCGTGAAGAAGGGATGTTGCAAGCAAGAGATATAGAACTCTTTGCAGGTGAGGCGTTCCATGGTATTGCAACAGACACATCATTGCAGAAGAAGCGCTCATATGACCATACGGTTTTCTCACGGCTTGTGACTGGGGCAATTTGGTTTGCATAATTCCACATATAGATACTAGAGTCGTCGCTAGCAGAAATAATGTGATCTCCATCTGGTGTAAATGCTGCAGGGACTTGACTTGAACTTCGTAATCCTGAGAACAGCACAAAAAAAAGGCATGTTAACTTAATGTGTCAACAATTAATTCAGGAGTAATCTTAGAAGAGCTGTTTAATACCTTTGTAGCTGGAAACGACATGAACCCCATCGAGAATGCGAACTTGTGAGTCACCAGATGTCACCATCAGTTTCTTTGGATCAGATGGGCAATACTGTTTATGCAAGAAATATAAAAGGCTATAAGAATCAGTGGTCATAAAGATACTCTGAATATTCAATATAAGAAAATCAAGGGTATAAGAATGGAGAAGGTCAATAGCTCCATACCTGGAATCCAATTATTCTTTTAAGTGGAGATTTCTTTCTGCCATACAGGGGGACTTGGGACTCCAGCTCTAGATGGTTTTCTGAATAATGCAATAGACAATGAATTAGAAATTCGATATGCATAAGATTTGGGAAGCGTCATACTTCAATCCATTAAACAAATCAGCAACTAAGGAAATTATGATTCTTATACCCCACAAAAAAAAAGAACGGTTTAACAGCTCTTTACGATTATGCCTTTTCCTAAAGTCATCTGAACAAGTTTACTATTTCCCAAATACCCAAATATCCTAATCAGTAACTTACTGATATAATATCTAAACATTAAATCTTAATGGTAACAAAAGGGCCGCCAATATAAGGTGCTTCTTGTTTGTTACGTGCAGGACAAGAACTCTTTGGTTATGATTTATGACTATTAAGGGGCCTTATATAGTATTGCCTTACATTTTATCCAAAAATATCATATAAACTTTTCACCAATGAGTAGCACATTCATATTTCTGGCATTGATACAGGGATATCAGTTTCTAAATAAACAGATTTTAAATTTTATTATAGTTGTTATAGCTTAGCTACAAGAACAAGGGAGATATCCAAAGTTGTACTAATTATCGAGGAATTAAGTTGATGAGCCACACTATGAAGTTATGGGAGAGAGTCATCGAGCAGCGCCTGCGAGGAACGACGCAGATATCAACAAACCAATTTGGTTTCATGCCGGGAAGGTCAACCACAGAAGCAATCTTCTTAATAAGACATGTTATGATGCGATTTAGAGAGCAGAAGAAGGACCTCCACTTAGTTTTCATTGACTTGGAGAAGGCTTATGACAAGATACCAAGAAATGTTATGTGGTGGTCTTTGGACAAACATAAAGTCCCATCAAAGTACGTGACCCTCATCAAGGACATGTACAACAATGTTGTGACTAGTGTTCGAACAAACGATGGTAACACAGATTACTTCGTGATTAAAACCGGACTTCATCAAGGGTCAGCCTTAAGCCCGTATCTCTTTGCCTTGGTAATGGATGAGGTTATCAGGAACATACAAGGGGATATCCCTTGGTGTATGTTGTTCGCTGATGATGTAGTGTTAGTGGACGAAAGCTAGGCGGGAGTAAATAGGAAACTAGAGTTGTGGCGGTAAATCCTTGAGTCTAAAGGTTTTAGATTGAGCAGAACTAAAATAGAATACATGAAATGCGACTTTGGCGGAGTTGTACAGGAGGAGGGAGATGTGAGTTTGGAAGGTCAAGTAGTGCCTAAGAAGGATACCTTTCGGTATCTGGGGTCGATGCTACAGAGGGATGGAGATATTGACGCGGACGTTAGCCATAGAATCAAAGCAGGGTGGATCAAGTGGCGACAAGCTTCTGGCATTCTCTGTGACAAGAATGGACCGAGTTCAGAACGATGATATACATGATCGCCTAGAGGTAGCACAAATTGAAGAAAAGCTTATCCAACATCGGTTGTGGTGGTTTGGCCATGTCCAAAGGAGACCTCCAGAGGCACCCAGTGCATTGTAGAGTCCTAAGGCAAGCTAATAATATGAGGAGAGGTAGAGAAAGACCGAAATTGACATGAGGGGAGGCAATAAAAAAATATTTGAAAGCTTGTGATATACCTAGAGATCTATGTTTGAATAGGAATACTTGAAAGCAGCTATTGAAGTGCTGAACCGTGACTTGGAGCTCTTGGTGGGTTTCAACTCTAGCCTACCCCAACTTGCTTGGGACTGAAAGACTATGTTGTTGTTGTTGTTATAGCTTAGCATTAAATTTTTTTTGCCTTGAACGCTAATATCTTTCCAGTAGGATGAAACTGCAACATGGCTGCTACAGATATGAGAGACCGAGACAATATACAACAACAACAACAACATAGCCTTTTAGTCCCAAACAAGTTGGGGTAAGCTAGACCGAGACAATATATGTAGCAAATTAGCAAATAGTCCGTTCATCACTATCTCATAACGAGACGAATTATAAGAGATTACCATCATTGGCAAATTGCATATGCAACTTTAGTGTCCACATGAAAGCAAATGATATTGACATATTAACAAACAAATGCTGTAGCTGTTTGAAGCAACTTCTCTACAAACATTAGCTTCCTAATGATCACAAAGTGCACAAACATCTAGTATCTTGAACAGAATAACATGATCACCTGATGCGTCATAGTAACGGCAGTTTCCTGTTATTGTCCCAACCACTGCACCCTGAAAGGAACAAGCACAAGTATGAACTATTAACATTCAGGAGCATAAAAAACCAATTGGTAAAATTTGATCATCGCAAAGGTATTCGGATGAACCTTTCCATCAGGACGGTAACAAACTGCAGTAATTATCTCTTTGCTGTCAACCCAGTCCACGACTAGGCATCTAGGAACATCCCAAATACGTACCATCCCATCAATGCAACCACTGATGAAATAATTGTCATTGGTAGGTTTAAACTGAATGCATGTCACTGCATAGTAGAAATAATCAATATGTCAGCATCAGACGGTAAAGAGGCAAACAGTGTCATCAAGCAGTAAACAGGGAAGGGAAGATGGTTTACCATAGTTATTATGGGAGAAAACCTTCAGACAGCTATCACACCCAATCTTCCATAATCGAACAGTTTTGTCCATGGACGCAGAAAGCAATTCCTGCATAAACAAAGCAAGCAGAAGTTAGATGACCAAAACAGGCGCAGGCCACGGGTATATAGACACACACCGTTTAAGTTCAACTCACCCTATTTTTTGACCATGAAAGATCCAAGATGACATCATGATGCCCACGGAATTCATGCACAGGATCCTCGGATATCGCAAAGGTCCGGTGAGGAATCACAACACAAGCTGGATCTGTGGCCCCCTTTGAACTCTTGCTGTGCTTGCCCTTAACCCCTTCGCACGAATTGATGGGAGCCAATTCAGAGTTTTCATTGACAGTGAAGAACACACATGAAGGATCATCCTCAATAAAATCACGGTCATCAGGCCTCTTGCCTTCCACCACCCGCCAAACGCGAACAACCCCATCGTCACCTCCAGTAGCCAGAAACTGGCCATCAGAGCTGAACTTCATGGTCACAATAGCACCTTCATGTGCCTTGATGACTTGGCCCTTGTACACTGCAGATAATTCCTTTGACCGCTTCTTGTATGGTCTCACCTTGACCCTATCAACCTTCCTAGAGCAACTCCGGGAAGAAGCGGAGGATGTCGAATTGACCTCATCGTCTTCCTCTGCGTCGGCATCGACAACACAAACACCAATGCCCAACCTTCGTAGCCACCCAAGCCGTCGCCGCCGCCGCCTCCTTCTCCTCATCACAGTCTTCTCCAGGGTGGAGGGTTCGTCGGAGTCGTCCACCCTCCGCATCAGCTCACGGATGAAAGGTGATGAGCCAAAGGTCTGCTCGAATTCTGCAGCTGTTACTGTCCGGTTGGAGCGCCTCTCCCTAAGGCTCCGGAAGCTCCCATCCTTTCCCATCTCGTCGACCACGAACACTGTGCCATCGTCCAGGTTCTTGAACATGCACTCCAACATCTCTTCCGTGGCAGCGCCGTCGTCGCCGGAGGCTGTCGGCTCCCCTCCCCTACTCGCAAAGGTAGGGGCGGCAGAGAACAACTCGGCGCTGGGGCTTGCCGGTTGGATTTCTTCGCTGGCCTCAGGCTTCGAGCACGTCTCCTCGCCGGGCCGCGCAGCGTAGGGGCTCGGATCCAAGAGGCCCAAGGACTTGACGAACCTCTGGCGGCGCTCGTGGACGCTGCCCGGGTCCCTGACCCAGACCTCGAGCAGCTGCTGGGCGAAGAGCCACCCGCCGTCGTCGTGGCGGCCGGAACTCGACGGCGACGACGAGACGGACGCCGGCGACAGGACCTCCCTCGAGTCAAAGAACTCTTCTCGCTCCTCTCCGGCGTCCAAGAAGCGCGCCATGGACACGTACCCGCACCCGCCGGTCGGACCCCACGTCACCGCGCCGGTGTCCTGGAGCCCAAGAACTGGAGGCAGCGCTCCGTCCGCATCAAGGGAGGGGGGCTCTGGGCTCTGGCCGGCGACGGGGGCAAGCGGATCTCGCGGTTCTTGGAACTCGGGAGAGTCGCGTGCGTGCGCCCCCCGCTTATGGCGCGCCCACTGCGGCTGGCATCCTCCCCCTTTCTCTCCGCCCCTTGCTTCTCTCTCTATCTCTCTCTATCTCTCCTTGGGGGGTGGATGATGATGTACCCAGTTGGGTTTCGGGGGTTCTCGCAACTCTCAAGAAGGGAACCAACCAACAACAACCAAAAGCTAATGAGTGGTGAAGAGTAATAAAAAGCAGAGGAGGACGAGGGGGACGGGGGAGAGAGGCGGGGCCGATGGCGGATGGGTGATGGTGGGATGGATGGGGACCGTGATCTCTGGGATCGGTTGGGGGCAGGAGGATTTGGAGGCTCGCCAGGGACAGGGAGGGGAGGCAAAGCCGCGACGAGAGCCGAGGAAGACGACTAAAATTGCTCGCCATTTTATTTGAGCCCACTAAAAATTTTGAAAGCGTCCCGGAGTCACGACGCTGAACTTTCTCGTCTTACACGTCATTTCATCCATCTTCCGTCGTTTTTTCAACTTGTGACTGCCCTGACGCGTGGGCTCAACTAACCAGTCATTACTTATTCAACATATCCTTCCTCTTCCTCCAAACGCTACACCGCATGCACTCTGACCATCGGCCCTACCTCACCGGTTGTTGATTGGTGGGTCCCACTCATTTTTAGATTTTTTAATTGTTTCATTCACATCTCCCAGCCCCTCCACGGCTCCGCCTCGCAGACTCGCACGACGCGGCTGCTTCGCCTCGTCCTCACCGGCGCGGTGCCCTCCGCCGAAGCCTGCGCCACCGGAGCCCGTGTCTCCCGTGCCGTCGGAGCTCGCGTCGTCCGCGCCGCCCGTACCGCCAGAGCTCGCGGTGGCTGGCGGCGGTGGGCGGTGGCGGAGGCCGAGGACGGCAGCGAAGTCCGGGGGCGGCGTGCCGGAGCCGAGGGCAGCGGAGTCCGGGCACGGTGTCGATGGAGGACGAGCTGCAGCCACGCGCGTCATCCAGTTCGTTTGATGCTGGAACCAGGATAAGTCTGGTGGCCGCAAGGGCTCAACTGGCGCTCGTAGCACGATGGGGCCGGCGAGGCCTCGGTCGCCAGCGCCGTCTCGGACGCCGACGAGAGGCATTGCCTCGGCGTGTGCAACGACTCCGTGTTGACCATGTATCTCGAGAAGAACTGCGGGTCCCCGCTGCTCGCCGTGCCGCGGCACAACTGGTTGCGAGGATGGGCAAGGGAACCTCGGCGGCGTTGAGTCCTAATCACGCCGACGCCCTCCGCTCATGCCTCCCCGCTGCCGCCGGCGCCTGCTGCTGCCCATCGGACGCCACGCCCGCAGCTCCTCCCGCTCCTCTTGCATGCCTACTCCCACCTCGATCTGCTGCCCGTTCAGCCGTCCCCCACGCGTGCGATCGTCCACCACCACCACCACCACTCTGACGATGGAGCGAGCAAGCAGGAGCGGACGGTCGTAGGTAGCTGTGTGGAGCCGAAGCTGCGAGCCATGGAGCGCACGCGGTCGTCCCCGTCGTGGAAGCCGAGTCCAAAGAAGGACGGCCCGCACAACCGCGGGATGGGGTGGGGTGCTCGCGGTGGGGTCTGTGCGGCCAGCGTCGAGACTGGCCCGCGCGTCCGCGTCGTGGAGCGAGGCGCTCGCGGCGGCGCCCGCACTGCCGGCGTTCGGGACGGCCCACGCGGCTTCGCCGCGGCTCTCTCTCCTCCCTCTTCTCGCCCGTGGCCGGCAAGGGCCCGGCGGAGGCTCGAGATGGGGCGGTTGCGGCTGCGGCGCCTACACTTGTGTCCGCACGCTCGCCGTAAGCTCGCCCACACGCCGGTAGCGATGGCGGGGGCGTCGGTTGTGTTTTGACCGGGGATGCCCCAGCACTGCGCCTTCGAGCGTCGTCGATTTGGCCGCGGCGGCACCAAAGAGAAAAGAACGAGGAAGGTTTGGGTGGCTGACAAATGAGTCCCACTGTAGGGTTAAATGGCCATTTCATCCGTTCGTTTGACACCGTTAGAGACCAAAGTAGGACGGAATGGCGTGGAATGCAAGAAAGTTTAGCGTCATGGTATCAGAGTGTGTTCGAACTTTTTAGTGATCTGTAGAGCCAGTGACCGTCTTTCATAATGGCACTCAGGGAGAATGCTCTTTTTATTTGTCCCTCCGAGGGACCTCGTTTTGACATGCTACAGCGCAACAAAATCACCTGATTGGGAAATCTGTTTTCATAATCATCGCGAGCAGTTATTACTGCCCTTTCCGAGGCCATTACATATTATTACTTCTGTAAAAAAAATGTACTACGTTAAATTGGTATAAATCATTCTTATAAAAAATATAATCATATTTATCGAGGAATATATTTTCGTAATATATTTATCCGATGTTGCTATTAATGATGTTCTTTGTAGGGTTTTTTGATTGAGGCTGTTGTAATTCTCTAAGTTTTAAGATATGTCATTACAATTCTTTTATTCAGAGATCTATAATTATAATTTTATCTCTCATGCATCCATGTCATTTTCTATACCTCCCACGTACTAGGCCCACTGTCACGTGCGTATGCGTACGGGAACACTTACACGAACGCGTATGGCATATACAGGTCCACTGGGCACGAGGCAGAGCGACGGCGCTCGCCGCGGCGGTCAGCGCGCGAGGGAGGAGCGCATGCTCGGCGGCAGGCGGCGGCTCGACGACGCGAACGCCACGGGCCTCGATGACGGCAACGCCACGAGTATCGACGACGCTGTCACGTGGACGGGGTTCATCAGCTACGCCGCGCTGTCCAGGGACAGCGTGCCGCATCCTACTACAACTGCCGCTCCGTCCCGGAGGCCAACCCCTGCAGCCGCGGCTGCTCCGCCATCACGCAGTGCCGCAGCTGAGCCAGCGCTGCGAGCGAGACTGCTGGGCCGCTAGCTGTGTTCCGCCGCTAGCTGCTTGCACGCGCGTTTCTTGCTTTCGTTGGTGCTTCGTGCGTCCTTCCCCTGATTCAGAATGTTCAAGTAACTGATCAGAGGTTTTACCATTTTGCTGTAAATCGTTGCTATTCTTGTGATAAGATTAAGAACGACTTTGTATTTTGTGTGATGTGTATGATCATATCCAATGTAAGTTGATTGATTCTTACAGTATTCAAGATTGATTAATCCATCGATGCAATGTGTGTCTGCTTTTGCGATGGTGCCGCTGCCGGTCTTTGCTCTGTGGACCGCCGGCCTGCCCCGCTCGCCGCGGCAAACGGCCGGGCCGCCCGTGCTCCTCCGCCTGTGCGCTCTCCGACTACTCCTCTCCCTCCGGCGCTCGCTTTCCCCCTGCCACTTTTGCTCCCTCACCCTCTCTGCTGCTGCGCGTGGGCGCCATGGTCGCGAGCTCCAAGCCGAGCTTGTCACCATTGTTCTCGGCTGCCCCTACCACCGCTACCAGCACCACCAACGCCCCTAGGCCCGCCCCATCTTCCTCTCTTCCGGACGCGTGCTCGCATGAGCTTTTGCCGCTGGAGACCACCGGCCATCGCCGTCTTCGCGACGCCCTCGCCGTCGCCCGCCGCCTCTGTTCCGCTGCGCCATACGCCACGCGTGCACGGGTCCCGCTCCCGCCGCTCGGGCCACCGCTGGCCGAGCTGCGACAGGTCCTGGGGCCGTGTAGGCCCGGCGAATCCCGCCGGCCTGCCACGCTCGTCGCTGCCAGGCGCTCGAGACGGAGCCGCAGCAGGCGCACGTCGTCGAGCTCATCGCCCACGACCGCCTCTGTGACGGCTACGGCCGAGCCCAGGCCGACCCGGACCAGTGGCCTGCCGTCGTGCAGGTGCGCCAGCGCGCGTCGCCGTCGTCGTGCCGCCGCCGCACGCTCAACCACGTCAAGTCGCTGCTCGTCTGGTACTGCGGCAACGATCTGGACGGCAGGGGCGGTTGTCTGGTACTGCGGCAACGATCTGGACGGTAGGGGCAGAGGCAGCGGTGAGATTGAGCAGGCGAGATGCAGGACGGCAGGGAGGGAGGCAACGGCGGCGAGATTGAGCAGGCGCACGCCCATGCGCTCCTCCCTCGCGCGCTGGCCGCCGCGGCGAGTGCCGTCTCTCTGCCTTGGCTCCGCCTCGCGCCCGGTGCGCCTGTACATGTCCATACGTGTCCGTGTACGCCTTCCTGTACGCATACACGTCTGACAGTGGGCCCTTATACACAGCGGGTGTAGAAAATAGCATGAATAGATAAGAGATGAAATTATAATGACAGATCTCTAAATAGACAAACTGTAACGACATATCTCAGAATTTGGAGAATTATAATGGCCTCGGTAAAAAAACCTTCTTCATAAATCTAGCTTAACTTTGAATAAAACTAAAAGTCTTCTTGACGGGAGGAGTGCTAAGCAGCTAAGATACGTGTGCCATACAAATTCAGTTAGTTTTAGTTGGTGTTTAATCTAGGAGTAAAGTTTAAAGATATTACGTTAGGTGTTATATGGAAGTGTTTGGATAGTAATAATAAAATAAATTATAGAAGTCTTCAAGATAATCCATGAGAGACTAATTTATTAATTAATTAATCCATCAACTAATCCGCCATATAGCACCGTATCAAATCTTGAACTAATTAGATTTAAAGTAAATTCGCATTATCAAATCATTTTCTCCTCACATTATACTATTCATCAACCAAATTAAAATTTCTCTCTCACATAAATTTTATCTTCTTTTTGACAAATGAACAGGGCCTTAGTATATATTGCAATTAGTTAATTTTTTAGTATATATTTAATAATACTTTAAACATCCGATGTGATAAGAGTAAATAGAAGGAGGAAAATATCGTTCTTTGGATCGTGAAGAAAAATTTTTTGAGGAGAAAAACTTAGGCCTTAAAAATTTACGATCGTTTATGATCGTATTCTCTGTCTGCTTTCGTAACTTTCTCCTTTTCAGCATTTTCTTTTACATAAACATCATGCGATTTTTTTGACTTGCTCGCCCCTTCATTCTTTCTTTTTGTCAGGAAGCAAAGTATACTTTCTGGGTCTAAGAGCAACTTGTACACCGGACAAGCCTCACGAAGCATCTCTAGTCTTTTTCTTTGCGTCGTTTTCGTTACCCACTACTGTCTGCATTAGAGCTTGTGGTGGTGATTTCTAAGATGATGTGGTCTACTTAAAACCAGTATTATAGCAGTGAAAAAAAATCTGCAATTCTGAGGTCTAATTCTCCCTTTTCTTCTTCCGTACTTGTATATGGTCATAGTCATGATTCGCCTTCCTATTCTCGTCTCTGTCACAGTTTACTGTTTTTTCTTCTCAAATGTTTATTCGAGATGGCAGTATGTTTTTGAACATTGAAGGATTTGCGTGTATATATATTTTGAGATTTTAATTCTTTTCTCTCATTTTCTTCTCGTTGATATGGTCACTCTCATAGCTATTCTTCCCGTTACCGTCTCTGTCACGAGTTACTGGTTTTTCGGTCATTATTTATTCAAAAAACGATAATAAATACTATGTTATTTGAAGTATCGCGTGCATGTATGGTCCAATATGAAAAATTCCGAGGGCACTAATGAGTACGACCTATGTTCTAAATTTTAAATCATTTTAATTTTGTACTAAGCCAAACTTCTTTAGCTTTTACCAAATATATATTGACATCTACGATCCCAAATAAGTGTGCTCTGAAGGTATATTGGGTGGTGGATTGAATAAACAAATTTGGTATTATAAATATTGATACTTTTTTTCTAAGGATGTACTCGGTTAAAGTTAGAGAAATTCGCTTAATAGCAAGGTCAAAGTGAGTTATAAGTTGGAAGGAAGAGTTTATAGTGTTTTGAAGCTGCGTGCATATTTAATTTGGTGTATGGCCCAAGAGATAAGGTGAGAATGAATTTCTTTCGTTCATGAGGTATACTAGCAGGACGAGTGACAGAAATCTTGACTAATCTCCAACGTCACAGTTATAATTAATCTCCACTACTTTAACTGGATTATTGCGTATTTGGACGACAGAACCCTCCATTTCTGAGAACAATGATTATTGGCACGCTCTTGAGCCTGAATCCTCCATTTCAGGAGATGATGCACACACTTGCGCAGGACCAAGAGCACACATCGGTCATGGCAATGGATTTTTTTTATATACTACTCCGTACATTATATACCCCTGTAGGATTTATTAATTAATCCAATGCAATGATATTGAATCTCATGCCTCCGTCCAAAAGCAGCATATGCTGACACATGTAACATGTTTGTTTGCTGTAGGAGTGTCAAGGAGCAAAACAATCAAATAATTAAGTATCGCCTTTTGTTTTGGAAGCAACGACGACTGTGCTTGATTTCTTTGAGCCGCACTCCTATATGCATGGTCCCTGGTAAGAGGGTCCACAAAAACACAATAGTATTTTTCAAGTACTATGTTTTTTTCTCGATCACTCAAAAGATTTGCATGTCTCTGTATTAAGGTAGAGAAAAAATTCGATGCAATGTGCCTTTGGACGTGGGTCAGTAAAGATTTACATGGAAGCTCAAACCCTCTTTAGTGTACTGTAAGCTAAGTTGTTACAACACGGCTTCTAAGTAATATGTTATTATTATGAAATATAAGATGGAAAAATAACTTTTCGTTCAATTTCTTGTTTATCTCTCTAGCATTTAGAGAAGGAGATGGACATATTCAGGTTGATTCTCATATAATTTCATGATTTGCTCCTAAAAAGTCATGGGTTATATCATCATCTTTGTGTGGCTGTAATAACGAAATTCACAGGCACGGCAAAACAATTCCTAGGTTTTTGTTTTGCTTGAAGTTGCGCGCAGGTGTCGGCTTCCACAGTTGAACTGGCACTATAGCTCGGTCGTTTCAGAAAGGCAGCCGTGCAGGTCGCAACTGGTCCAAGTCAATGGAGGTGGTGGCACGTCCATTTTACAATTATGCTTTATTATTACTTTACACATGCCTGACCTTTCATTATATATATTGCAACATGGCCAATCTATATAGATCGTCCGGATCCTCTGTGGCGTAATACCTGATGCTAGCTCTACAGTGCACTGATCTCACACTACTGCATATATATATATATATATATATATATATATATATATATATATATATATATATATATATATATATATATATACACACACACACACACACACACACAAACAACCATCAACCATGCATGCATGAAATACACATGGGTCTGCTGGTCTCTAGCTGTGCTCTCTCTATATACTATATGTCTACTTTAAATAAATTATTTGACAAATAATATCTCATCTGGATTTAATCGATCTACCAAAGGAGTAGATATGCACGCCTTGAGACCCTAGCTTAAATAATTGTAAATTTTAATTTTATTCCTCATTCTAATGCTAGCTACATACTGCAATTTTGAAACATTTGCATTATATTATTAGTTACTTGCATTTGTTATCGCAGTCCAGGCCAATAAACAAAACTTGATGTTGTCGGCTTTCAGGTTGTATACCTGGCACTGTTCGCTTGAACTTATCAGCCTACCTTATCAGCCATGGTACCGTGTTTAACTACTAACAGTATAGTACTCTCCTGATAAGTAACCTAGCCAATTCAAACTAACGCAGTTGGTGCTTCCACAAATTTTATCCATCTCCCTCCAACGTACGGCGTCCTGTCGTCTTAGCTAGCTAGTTTGCCGGTCAGTAGAGAGCGAGGCTGCACACATCTTGTGTAGATACTACTAGCTAGGTATATATACCCAAGAATACCCATTTTGCCAATATATATTCAGCATCAGGCTAGCTGGCAGCCTAATTAATTTGCTAGCTGCTGTTTATATGACGTACGGTGTTAGTCGGTAGGCAGCACTGTCAGTTGCTCTCGCTCTTTCTGGCCCGGCGAGATAGCGAGGCTCGCTTGCATTGCATTGTTAGTTAGGTGTTAGGACGCTGACACTGATGATTAATTTGTAGATCTCATAGATAGTTAGGCAGCTTAATTAACTGATCACTCTAACTGATTAATGCGGAAATAATTTATGCATTGGTGATAATTAAGCAGCAATTAAGCAGTAGCTAGGCACGCATGACCACATGAGAGTCACATGGAGCCAAATATATAAACTATTCTCTTCTTCTCAGCTGTGCGCGCGCTCACACAACTGAAAGCTGATAGAAATTCAGGTTCGGCTGATCCACGGCTGATTTCGGCTGATTCAATAGTATTCTATGAGAGAGAATAAGCTAAAATAAACTGAAACAAGCTGAGACTAGATAAGGAGAACAGCCTGACACTACTACATAATCGAATTTGCGTGACGTCGCCTGGGTGGCCTCCGTGGCGGCCATCTTTTTGCCCGCCACGGTTAATGCATGTCGATTTACGTAGGTGGGTGTTTTTTATTTTCTGAGGCGGGCACTTTTGCCCGTCACGGTAAATCGATTTACCGTGGCGGGCGTCTTAAGACGTCTGCCTCGGAAAATAGCCTATTTCCCGAGGCGGGCGTCTTAAGGTGCCCGCTACGGTAAATCGATTTACCGTGGCGGGCATCCTATATACATCAATTAAAAATAGCAACAACAGGCGGATGGCGAGGCGACGGCGTGATGACCGTGTTTCTCATTGTGACGCCGGGCGGAGCCACCAGAACTGGGCGCATAAGCGTCTTTGGTCCACCCCGCCCGCAGCCCACTTAGCGTTGGCTCGATCGATCCGTTGATACCAATCCGACGGGGTGAGGACACTCTGCCGGGAACAAAATCCATCATCCGTAGCGCCGACTCAAAAACCCTAGCTTCATTTTCTCTTGTTCCTCTCTTTCGCGTCGCGCTTGTTGAGAGAGAGAAGAGCGACAGCGAGTATCGGTGACGCGGGACATGCGGAGCCGGTGAGGGCGCCCGCCGACGGGAGCGCGCGCATGGCAAGCCGACCCGCTCCGCCCCGGTCGAGCCGCTCGCCGGAGCTCGAGTGTGGCTGTGGCGCGCAGCTCCGTCAAGCCGCCGCCTGCGATGGCGCTCACGCATTTGGCGGTCGCGAGCGGTGAGCCCAGCGCCCCATTTGTCGCATG